AAGAACAGTGCTTCTAGAACTCTCAAGCACCCTGGAGTCAACTGGGGATCTTGCTGAAATGCAGATTCAGATTCCGTGAGGTCGGGGGAGGAGCCTGGGTTTCCGCATTTCTAATTAACCCCCCCCCACCCCCGCCCCCCGCCCAGGCGGTGAAGACTCTGCTGAGGGGAGAACCGCGTTTGAGCAGCCAGGGATTAGACACTTTGTTTTTACTTAAAACAAAAACAAACCAACTTTCTGAAGGCGTCGAATCCCAGTAGCAGGTGTGTGAGGTCTCAAGATTTCCAGAAGGGTAGAGAAGCTGAAAAGCATTTGGATAAACAGTGGTGCTGATTAGCAAGTGTGGTTTCAGAGCTGCGACCTTGTTCGGCAAAGACTACCCGGTACTATACCTAAAACGAAGGGCACCTGGGTGGCTCAGTCGGTTAAGTGTCTGACTCTGGCTCAGATCATGATCTCATGGTTCACAGGTTCAAGCCCCGCATCGGGCTCTGTGCCGAGAGCTCATGACAAGCCTGTGGCCCATGGCCCTGTCTACTTGGTATTCCCAGCTTGTGACTCCTACCAGTGCTCACAACACTGTTATCACAGGACCTGTGAGAAGTAGCAGCATGGGAGGGAGGCTCAAGGACGCAGCTGATGCCTCCACAGCAGTCACAGAGGCGGCAGGATGTTCTACACAAAGCTCGCCGTGCGAAATCGCAGTGACCCTGACAGGACTCTCCTTCACAGTAACAGAGAGTAAACAGAAGCAGTTGGCCATGGGGGTCACACAGCAAATCCACAGACAGACACTCTGTGGCAGCGGCTCGCTGTGCATCACTGGGCACTGCTCAGATCCTCCCACAGTAAAAGGGGGTGTTGGATGTTGTGGTCTTTCAGGCTCCTCTCAGAGGAAACATCCTGCCATCCCACGGTCTGTGATGCTACTCACTTCAAAAACAGAGCCTAGGAGTTCGGGTCCCTTCATGCCTCGTCTTGTGGGGACCTGAGAAGCACATTCGGGTCAGCCACAGCTGTGCTTCCTCCACTCTCTGCCAAGACTCACATTTTCTCACTTGATTAAATCCCCAGTCCCATGAATGCAACTAGAAAAACCTGCACTGGAGGTGCGCGTTGGAGGGAGAGATTTGAAATTACCCAGAACACTTTACCTGAGAGCAATTTGGCTGAAATTATCACATACCAGCTATATTTTTTTCCCTTTCTATTCTTTTCCCCTTCCCCTTCCCCAATCCATAAATCCTTGACTGCCAGTATTCTAAAGAAACACAAAAGAATCCATCTTTTGGTGTTTGGAAGCTACAGGTCAACTCTATGAAGCAAAAAAATAATTATAATAGTAAAAATAATATTAACAACAGTAACAAATATATTCTGCCGGTGACTGGGGTATTCTCCAGCGATTGTCTTTAGACACCAGGAGTCTATGTGCACACTAACAGTTAATTAGCATTGTCTAATTCCTAAGTAGTCTTCCTAGTTCTGCTTCTATGCTCAAGCCTGAACCACTTGAAGTGACTATGATGTTAAGAGGCACCTGCACTTAAAGTCTTTTTCAGTCTCCCACGCACAGAGAGGACCCAGCTGGGCAGCAAGCACCAGGTGACATCACCTGCGAGAGCGAGCATCCAATGCCCCTATCATTTGCCTAGTCTGGGTCACCTGAACAAACTTCAGGAGAAAGTTCTGTGGCCTTTTCAGGAAAGCGAGGCTTACTCACATAGGAGGAAAAAATATGAAACGAATGAAAATATCACACAAGGGTGCCAACCCCACAAAACACTACTTACTACCGGAGAGCCACACTAGAAGAGACTTCTGGGCAAAATGAAACCAGTAATGGAGCACTTCAGTCTGGTTCGAGGTGCCTTGCTTATGTTTACTTACATTTCAGCGGCCACACTATGACCGAGCAGATCCGCTAATTATCTCCATTTCACAGAAGAGGGCACTGAGGCCCAGCCCAAAGTCTGGTCCAGCCCGTAAGGGGGGAGTGAGGTGTGAGGGACCCTCGGTTCCAGCACTCACAGCGCTTCACGACTCTGCTTGGTTCTGGGTGGAAACTAGGTCAAGATCCGGGAAACACTACTGTCACCCTGAAGAGGAGGGTTCAAGGGCAGATGGCCTTGAGGGTCCTGGCGCCCCAATTCCTGGCAGTGCCATTGGAGGCTTCCGGCCCCGACGGAATACAGTCCTAGCCTCATCAGAACCGAACTGACGTCCGGCCTCCCAGCAAGGGCTGCAGCAGCTGGGGAACCTGGTGAGGATGCGCGCGCCTGCACCCACCTCCCCACCTTTACTTGCCTCCCTCCCTCCCCCAACCCCCAAGCCACACACGGGTACTTACAGCCCTGGGGCCCAGCTCCTCAAGCCAACACGAGAAATTAAACAGTTCGCACAGAATGAAATTTGGCCCGTGGAAGGTGCCTGCAGCTGGCGGTTAACACCAGCAGTAAGAGGATCAACTCCTAGTCCGCTGGCTTAAAAGGGGGGGTGGGGTGGGGTGAGAAGTGTGCGCGCTCCCTTTTACCCATTCACGTTAGTTAATTTGGATGATAAGGGTTCGTGTTTAATCCCTTTGTGAGCGAGTGAATATACTGAAATCGACAACCCCTGAGAGCACCGGCGGCTGGGAGGGCAACCTGCGCGGGAGCGTGCGGGTCGTGTCCAATCTGGCGTGAAGGAGAAAAGAAACGTCCTAAGGAGACTGAAAGCAAGAAAGAGAGAGACACCCTAGGGGTGCGTGGTGCCCACCGAGCCGCACACCTCCAGGCCGCGGCGGGTGGGCCGCGCTCTTCCCCAAGGCCCAGCACCCCAGGCCCGCCTCTGCGCCCTAGGAGCTCCCCAGGTCCCCCAGCGAGTGGGGCTCCTCCTTAGCCACCTCTGCCGAGGACTAACGACACCCAAGGGAGAGCCCGGGCCCTGCCACGGTCCAGCAGAGCGGAGAGAATTTAGGCGAGGCGTGGCGCAGAAAAGGGAGGGAAGGCTATCTAAGGACAGGGCTCGGTTCTCGGATGGGACAGATCAGAAAAAGGTGAGAGCTCGGTGGCTCTAGGTCAGGTCGTAAAAGCCGTCTTTATAGTTTCCACCTGCAAGAAAGCTCACACCCCACCCACAGCCCGCAGGCCTGGAGCCCCCAGAGTGCGGGTCCGAGGCTGCAACTGGGAGCGAGCCCGGTGGGTGGGGGAGGAGGCCCCCGGCCGCCGGCCTGGCTGCCCGCAGAGGCGCGGGAGGCGGAGGGAATTCCCAGCCGCCGCCGCCCCCTCCTTCCCCTCGGGCCCGTCCAGCAAATTTCCTCCCTCGTTTCTGTTCGTGCCTTCCCCCCCTCCTCCTCCCCCCGATATATTCGCTCTCTAAAACCATAAAAAAGAGATCAACTTCCCTAACTTCACGGAGCCCTTTTCAGTGACAAATATTGATGCCCAAAGTGTCTGCGCTCTCCCGCCCCCAAACGTTAAGAAAAGGCGCCCGCGAAAGGGGGACATAAAAAGTTAACAATGCTGTGAAAATATGTTTGCAGAAAATAGACAATCGTTGGATTAAACGTATTCAAGTATGAAATAATGCCTTTTTGTGTCAAAACTTGGGCGATGGGCGGGTACAAAAGTTCCCTGTGGCAGCTACTTGCTCCCTTTGTGAGCCGTGCGCTTTGGCGTCTCCACTTGGGCGCATTACTCAGAGCCCTCTAAGCGCGATTGTTTCTCCCTTTCTAATGACATTTACCGGATCAAAACATGCTGTTAATTCGATCAGAAGGCTTCACCCTCCCTGACAAAGCCACAATAATTTCTCCTGAAGTTTGTTAAATTGACCAAAATTAGGCAAATGAATAGGGGTCTGTAGGCGCCCCCTCTCGCAGGTGACGTCGCATAATGCTCGCCTGGGCCAGCTGCATTCCCCCTTTCTTCTCCTCGGCCCACTCTTCTCCGTGTTGCCCCCCGATCCCCCCACCCCCCCCTCACACACACACACACACACACACACGCCCGCCTGTCTCTACTCCCCCCACCCTCTGGCATTATTAAAATTTAGCCCAATGAAACTATTCATACTTTTCAATGGACATTTTCGCATAGGATAATAGGCTACAAATTGAGCCTCTTCCCCCCGCGAAGAGAGAGCCCGACGGGGGGAGAAAAGAAAGCAAGAGACGTGGTCAGGGAGCAGGGGGGGAACGTCGCGTGCCAGAGACCGGCGGGAGGGGCGAGGCGAGGCGGGAGCCTCGTGTGCCAGCCGCAGCCCCACACCTGCCGGGATGTCCGGACAAATAAAGCGGTGTAAACAAAAAGGGGGGAGATGGACGTGTCACCAAGTCGTGTGAGAAAAGCCTGGGAACAAACAGGGCGCCTCCGTCTCCAAGAGCTCTCCCTTGAACCCGGCGGAACAGCCTATTAAAGGCTTACTTAATTACTTTAATGACTCTGGACAGGCTTTAAAACGCACTCGGCGCTGGGACTGCGGGCTTGCTGGGATTTGTAAACAGGCAATCGTGTGAGACTCAGCGGTGGGACTAAAGGAGGCGACACTGTTTTTGTGAGGGTCCTCGCCCCCCGGTGCCCGCGGCCGCTGCGCCCCTGCGCTCTGCGCCTGCTGCGGGCGCTCCCTCGCCCGCCGGCCCCAGTTTACCGCCTCCTCGTCCCGCCCGGGCTGTTACCATGCAAATGTTATTCCCCCGCCGATCACGTGTCCTTTGAAGGGCCACGTGGATTAACAAAGCTGATCTGCCCCCAGCTCACCCCCCTCGGCTGCTATTTTTTTCCCCCTTAACTTCTTTAAAACTGATCTTGAATGCATACATCCCCCAAACGCAGCTCCCCTAATCCTATGGAATCATTCAACTCGTGAATGCACTTGGAGTCCTAAATGACCGCTTTATAAGGCAGCCCCTCGGAGTGGGGAGGCTGCAGTCTACCTGGGACACTCGAGGAGGCACACGAGGCGGAAAGTGGACGGGTGACTCGCGCCACCGCCTCTCCCGAGGGCGCGTCCTGACCAGGATGTCAGACAAGCTCAAGGAACGCAAAGTGAGTCGGCTGAGCCCGGACAGCCCTTGCGCCCTGACAGTGGGGGGCGTCTGACTCCCGGAGCCGCCTCCTGGCTGGACCGACGGCAGGGACGTGGCACCCGGGACGCTCGTGCGGAGGAAGCTTGAGTGGTCTGGGCGGGGAAGGAGGGCAGAGGAGCCTCCTCGACTCGGGAGGCCGGTGGCCACCTCCCCAGTGCCCTGGCGCTCAGCTGGCCGGCGTGGCCCGAGCCGGGCGGGCGGCCGGAGGAGGAGCGCACCAGCGCGGGCGTGAGAGGGCAGAGCTCCTCTAACCCTCGTGTGGAGGGGCAGGGACCCCCGTCCGGGGAGGTGGGGGGGGGGAGTCCCTGGGCCGCGTTGGGGGCTGGGAGGCCAACGGACACGCAGCTGCAGCCATGACTCTGACGACTCCCTGAGCAACACTATCCTAAACGTACAAACCTCTGTTCGCAGAGAACCCCTGTTTCCCACAAAGTGATAGAAAAGCGGAGGAGGGACCGGATTAACCGCTGCTTGAACGAGCTGGGCAAGACGGTGCCCATGGCCCTGGCGAAGCAGGTAACGTCAAAGGCCGAGGGAACCGAGTCCTGCGCCGGGGACCCTCCGCCGCCACGCTTAGCAGGGATGCAGGGAATCTGGAGACGGAGAGGGGCTTTGCTGTGGGCTCCTCTCCCCGGGGCCCGAACGCTGGGCGAGCCCCAGGCGGCCTCGCATGGATCCCCCCAGCGCCCTGCTCGCTGCTCCGCATTAAGCGGTGCACCCAGCCTGCGGGGGTTGACTAGCGCCCACGGGGTCGCTGCGAGGAGCGCTCCCTCTTTTTGCAGAGTTCTGGGAAGCTGGAGAAAGCGGAGATCCTCGAGATGACCGTTCAGTACCTGCGAGCCCTGCACTCCGCTGATTTTCCCCGGGGAAGGGAAAAAGGTGGGCGCGGGTTGGACACGGGAGAACCTGGGCTGGTTCGCCGTGGGGGTCGGGGTGGGAGTCAAAGGGCCCTCCAGGGCTCTCGGCTCTGGATGTGCCCGCGGGGGGGGCGGGCCGAGGTTCTACGCAAGCAAGGGGACAGGAGAACAGGATTCTGGGGATGCTGGGTCAGTCCCCGACTCCGGTGGGGAAGGGTGGGGTCAGGCTCTTAAGGAAAAGGTCTTTTGCTTGCACTTTTCCGGTCTCCAGACCGGGTTGAGGGAGGACAGGCCTCTACTGGGAACTCGGGCCAGAAAACGTGACTGGGAGGTGCCGGGCACCCTCCTCAGGTCACGATGGGGATGGGGCCGCTCATGGCTTGCATGGTTTTTCCTTTCTGCGGGTTCACTCGCCGCTCCGGCAGAATTACTAGCGGAGTTTGCCAACTACTTCCACTACGGCTACCACGAGTGCATGAAGAACCTGGTGCATTATCTCACCACCGTGGAGCGGATGGAGACCAAGGACACCAAGTACGCGCGCATCCTCGCCTTCCTGCAGTCCAAGGCCCGCTTGGGCGCAGAGCCCGCCTTCCAGCCGCTGGGTTCGCTCCCGGAGCCGGATTTCCCCTATCAGCTGCACACAGCCGGGGCCGAGCTCACCGGCCACAGCCCCGGGGAGGCCTCCGTCTTCCCGCAGGGCGCCGCCCCTGGGCCCTTCCCCTGGCCTCACGGCTCGGCCCGCAGCCCGGCGCTGCCCTACCTGCCCGGCGCGCCCGTGCAGCTCCCGAGCCCCGCGCAGCAGCACAGCCCCTTCCTGACGCCCGTGCAGGGGCTGGACCGGCACTACCTCAACCTGATCGGCCACGCCCACCCCAACGCCCTCAACTTGCACCCGCCCCAGCACCCCCCGGTGCTCTGACGCCACCTCGCCCTCCAGGTTTCTGCGCGCGCCCGGCGCTGCGTAGGACAAATGCTATCCATTGTACAGGTGTAAATAGTATACCAGCAGAAAAGCTGGGTGGGGGAAGGTCAAGAGCAAATTAGTCTCCCGAAGGATCTCCCCCTGGCAATAAACGTTTTCTGGTAAAGACCCAAGAGATGGATTTCTTTGTTACCTTCTGCTCTTCCACCACCACCCTTGGAGATGCCCGAGGGCGAGAGCCTGATAGGGCCCAGGTGTTGGTCCTGAGTACTTGGGGGTGGGGGGCGCTGCGGGGCTGAGGAGGTGGGGGAAGAGCCTAAATGGAGCGTCACTTCGGGGCGTGAATTTGGGTTCCCTCGGGGCTCCAGACCCTCACCCGACTGGAGCACATCTTGGGGTTTTGCCTCAGGTAAGAGCGCACGCGGAAAACTGGGCCTTGTCTCTCAGAAAATGCAAACTAAGGACCCGCCGCAAGCTGGCCCTGGCCGACTGTCGCCAGCTCGGACCTGGGCGCCCCCCCCCCCCCACCTCGAGACGAGGCCAGGGGTCGCGCGCGCACCACGCGCCGGTGGGCGCGGAGAGCCGCGCAGCTCAGGCCCGCGGGGTGCGTGACTAGGTTTACAGCCTTAACGCGTCTCTGTAACACAACGAGCGAGGAAGTAACTTCTGAGTTCTGGCTCAAAAACAACGTCCGACGCAGTTTATTTCAGGATGACAAGTACTCTGCGCGCGGGAGGGCTCGGGGCGGCTGGCCTTGCCTTTTGCGCACAGATCAGCTCAGCTTCGGAGATGCTAGGCAGCCGGGCGAGGAGCCGGCAGCGAGCGGGTCGGGAGACACGCTCCCCAGGGGAGTGTTCCCTCTGCAGCTCCCACCACCCACGGGCGAGGGGTCGAGACGCTGGGAAAAGGCTTCCCCGTCCCCGGGGGAGGGAAGGTGGATTTTAACCTTATGCTCAACCCAGAACGTAGCGAGGAAAGTTACACTCTTGGCTGGCGATCTTTAGGAGATCGAGGTTTTCAATTCCAGTTGGATCTGTGCCTTACCCACAACACAGCAATACATTTAAAATAGCAAACAAAACTTTTGTTTTTCTAATACCTAAACAGCAAAATGAGACTTCTGTTGTTTTATGGAAACAGGTAAAATGAACTGTATCCAACTGGCTAAAGTTGTATTTGTGGGGCTTTAATTTTTTCCCCTTCACTGATTTTTTTTCTTCCCATATTTCCTTTTTAGTTCCCTAGCTTTGATGCCCTTTACATAAATAATTTGAAATTATGTAGCAGCTTCTCCTGTTTCCAGAGGCCATTAAACTGAACTACAATGGTTTGCCTTCTCCCAGATTAGTAGGAGAACAATAAAATTAACTCATTCCATTTCTGTGGTTGGGGTTTCAGGGAGCTCTGACGGAGACTCTTTACTGAGGTCATGGACTAGGGTGACCTGCAATTTGTAAACCATCAAACTTGATTATACAGAGATAGTGCAAAATACAAAAAACCCAGTTCATTAGGTTGCCCATAAAGTGAACCTTAAATGTGCATGCAGGGGGCAGGGAGAATCTATAAACTTCAGAAAAGGTCTTGCAAGTAGGGAGATCTTGATCTTGCACTACATGTCACTACAGTACTTATCTATAAAATGTGAGAACCAAACAAATACCTCCCCCTCAAGAACTGATAAAGTTAGAGCATGAAAGCAAGTGTCAGGCCAGGAGGCCTTCCGGATAACAAATATACATTGCACAGTATGGGATAAAAACAAATTATGCAGAAATGAGAGAATGCATGGTGCCTATTATTGGAACACATGTCTTACACCCATTTTCATCAGCGCTGGATACAGAATATGAAGAAGGCCTTTCAGACTTTTTTTCTCTGAGCATTAAGCCAATCTGAATTCCCTTTGGCAGTGAAGCATTAAAGATATAGTGTTACCCTGGAAATATAAATTATTAATATATTCAGCATTTTTGTCACTTCTCAACTGTTAACCAAATTAGACAAAACTTTCTTTTACTAAGTAGATTTTCTCTTTGGGATTAGCTTTGGGAATGCACAGGGCCACCACAGTAAAAACTTTGGTCATTTACATATAATTTTGCAAACTTCCACTGGCCCATGACAGTCTTTGTACCTCAAATGTTGGTATTCTTGATTTTTTTTTCTTTCTCATTTAACTGTGGAGGATAAAACCCTGCTTTGGCTTTACAATGACTTTAGGATAAAAGTCTCCCTCCCCATTCTCTTCCTCCCCCTTTCTGTGTGTGTGTGTGTGTGTTGTGTCTTTTTCTGAAACCTTCATCCAGAGTTCCAATTCTCCAGGCTTGGCCAAAAGTCAAACTTAGATTAGTCAGACTTTGCAAAAGATTAAAAAATATCACTGCAAAATAGAATTGATTCAGATCAGATTGTGACTTTAATGTGTCCTGTCCTGCACTTTCTCTGACAACACACTACTCCCCGTCCCAAGTCCCCCACCTCCCCCGCCTCTGTCTGAGTCTCTTATGCCCAATCCTTCCACTCTTTCTTTTAAGTAAGTTGTATAGTAATGGTTTCCAAGAGAGGCTCAACTAAACCCAGAAATAACAAAAAACAAAAAACAGTGGGTTTGGCTGGAGGTGACCCATTGTGATACCTCTGAAAAGGGCAACCTCTTGTTTCTTGGGCTTCATCCTTGAGTGGGCAAGAATAAAAATAATCATCCCCATGAAATCAAAGGTTTTCTCCAGAGGCTTGAGGAACAAAGCTGATGGCTGGCGCTTTGGGTTGGTCCCCGTGGCTCTGTAGGGCTAGAACCAGGGGCTTCCGGGCACTCCAGCCGCCCCTGCCGAAAGGGTGGTAATACAGAGCTCACTTGTGCTTCCAAGCGTTATTGCACACAGTCCATGTGTCAGTGGGGGCCCTCCAGTCTGGGCTGCTAGCTACCAAGCAAGGAAGGCGGAGGAGTAGCTAGGGAAGTGCTTCACTGACCCCGCGAAGGTGTGGAATTGCTAGGAACCTGGTAACAGGTGTCTGCATACAGTAACACACCAAGAAAAATAAGGCAACATGGGGCATTCAGTAGGTGCTCTGTAAACATTTTTGTGGAATGCCTAAATGAACCACCTGACAGTGCTCAGCTCTTGGACTTCTTTGTCTCCACTAGACTTCTCGTTTCAGGCCCTCAGGCCTTCCAGCAGAGACAGAATGTACTGGTACACCCAACCAGAAATCTATGGTGTAATCTACACACATTCCAAGAGTTGTCAGACATAGCAATGGCTCTGCCTTTGCCTAGAAATTCTACCTTGTGCCCTGGCAGGAGATGATGCTTGGCTTGCTTGGTTAAGGCAGTTAACTCTTCCTGAGGGCCCAGCTAAATGCAGACTCCAAACTCAGGATATGAATTCAGAACTAGCCTGATGAGGGTTCTGTTCCTTTCACATGAGAAAGAGCCAAGACTGGACTGAGCCAGACTCTGCCCTCTTTTCTGCAATCTCTTTTGGTTTCTAGAGCCAGACTACCAGGATTTCCATTCCAGTCCTGCTGCTCAGTAGCTGTGTGCCCTGGGGCAAGTTGCCAAGCCTCTCTGTGTTTCATGATCTATAAAATAGAGATGTTAAAAGCACATATACCTCATATGGGTTGCTATGATGATGAAGTGACCTGGTACGTTCAAAGCACTCTAGACAGAGACCCATAGTGAATGTTTAGTAAATGCTAGCTATAATAATAATAATTATCTACTACTCCCTCCTTTTCCCAAAGAGTCAGATCCTTGGGGACACTTCAAAGTAGAAAGTAAAATGTCAAGGCAATCACTAAAAACGAATCTTAATCCACCCACCCACCCCAAAAAATCAATGCCCAAGGCTTGTTCTGGAACAAGGCAATCGTCCCCATTCAGGGCAACTGGGGCTAGGGGGCTCTGATTCCAGCCCACGGTCAATTTGGGGGCTGTGAGCCCGTCTCCAAGTTATGGCTGGTAGTCAGAGCCCCCTGATAACCTTGAAACGCCATCTCTCACACTCTTCCACAGACAGGAGGCAGGCCTGACATTATTCTGCAACTGCTCTTGTACCCGCCTTCCCACATGCTCTGCCCAATTATACATCAACGCCCATGAACATACAACTCTTGGCTCTTGTAAATTCTTTTGCGGAACGTGGGGCAAACAAATAAATGAATTCGGTATTCTTTAAGCACACTTTCCATTTTTTTTTCTCAGCACTCCCTCCCTTTTTCCCATGCAAGCCTTTCACCTGTCCTCTCCATCAGCTATCTGCTCTGCCCTAGACTCAATCTCAAGTGCTCATCCCCTTTCTCACTTGCCCTTCAGTCCTTTTTTTTTTTTAATATTTTATTTATTTCTGAGAGAGAGAGAGAGAGACAGCATAAGTAGGGGAGGGTCAGAGAGAGAGGGAGACAGACTCTGAAGCAGGCTCCAGGCTCTGAGCTAGCTGTTAGTGCAGAGCCTGATGCGGGGCTCGAACCCACGAACTGTGAGATCATGACCTGAGCCGAAGTCGGATGCTTAACTGACTGAGCCACCCAGGCGCCCTTGCCCTTCAGTCCTTATTCTCCCCTTCTTTTTTGGATTGCTTAGCTCCTGCAATCTGCTTCTCCATGTGTCAGTGGCCTGGTGTAAGAATGTACCTGTGTGTGTCCCCCAGCGAGGAGCGGTGCCAGGGGAGTAATCCCTTATACACTGCTGGCGCTCCCTTCCATTCTGCCGCTGTAGGATGTATACAGATGGCTGTGCTCAGGAGGCGACCCAGCCCTGCTCCTGAAGCCCTTTCCCTCCTGCCAGCCTGCCCACAGGAAGCAAACAAGCATCCCTACCAGGCGGACTGGCAGATTTCTCATTCTTCCTGGACTTTTTCTGGGTAAGTTTACGTTTAAGGTCAAGGGTTGCAAGCCCTCTGTCCACCCACAGAAGCACATCCTGTAACCAGTAGCAAAGTAGACGGTGTCACCTCCATCTGACCCCTATGTCCACATCTCCAATGATTCCG